AGGAGGCAGCTCCATTGGTTGGTAATTGGTTACTAACAAAGGCATTGCTTAGGAAAGGGGTAAATTTCAAATCCATTAGGGAACAATTACTTCTCATATTCCAGTTCTTGCAATGGAAGCATATAAAAAAAGGAATGCTATTTCCAGTCTTGTGAAGAATCAGGATAGCAAGAAGCAGTGAGAGTCAGGCACTTCATAATGGAGATTCATCAAACAGGAGTAAAACTCAGCAGGAATGTATATACCTCTTCCTAGCAAGAAAAATCTACTTGGGTTTTAGTGAGACCTTGTATTAGACTGATACAAAATTACTTACTCTTGGCTGGAAATGAATTCAGGAAGAGAAATAAAAGATTACTAAAATCTCACATTTCCTTAATGAAATTTTATAATATAATATATAAAAAATATATTACAAGGCACAGGGTGGCATTAATTCAATATCAGTTAAGAATTTCTTATGTTTTCTTGCAATACTATTCCCTTTCCTATAGGATATCTGTCAAAGAATAAAGTATGCAGACTAAAAGCTCTGACACAGTCTTGCGTATGCCAGTATTTGTAGCTTTGACAGGAAGCTTGAATTTTAAGTGAAAAAAAAAAAGTGGTCTATCAAATACACTTGGTATATTGGGATTTGCTTAAGTTCTTTATCCTTTCCTTCTTTTTCTTAATGAAGAATTTCTGCTTTGAGCAAGAACAAGTTCTGTGCTGGAACACCTTCCTCCATTCCCTTGCTTACATATGTACAACTTTAACAATTTTGGTCTGTGTCCATGCTAAGAAATAATAGCCCAGAGGAAATGGATTTGACAAGAGTTGTGAAGCTCTAAGAGAGTGAGGACCATGGCGGCAGCTGTCTTTCACAAGCATATGGCAGCATTTACAGAAGCCATTCTGCAGGTAAGAAAATGAACTCTTCTTTTAATATAAGAGCAAGGTTTCTATTATATTGGAAAATTATGTGACCAAATAGGTGGTATCATAATAAAAGGTAAGCCAGAATATTAGTCAACTGGTCACAGGCACAGTCTTACTCTGTGAAACTGAGATGGCTGAAGTTACCTTTTCCCATAGCCATAATGCTAGACTGGCATGTGATGTTTGCTATCCTGGAAGGCAGAATGGGAAACAGTAATGCCAAGCAATGCTGGGTTGTAAATGGCCAAAATAAACACCCATGAATCCAAACTCCAAAAAAGCAATGCATATTTGGAAAAAAAAACCAAAAAACCACCTTTACATACAAGTTTGAAGTCTGCATTAAGCATTAGATGATTTACTCAAAGCATTGGTGTTGGCAGAGTTGTCATGACTGAAGCCAGAACAGCTATTGGAAATATTGAACTAGATAAACTTGCATGGTTTTAAGTCCAAGTCTACTTTAGGTAAAATTTTAGTTAGGCGAAATGTTTCTATTAGTTTGTGAACCTCAGCATTTCTCCACAATCAAAGGTCCGTTGTAGGAGCTGGAAATTCTCCTGTCCGTTGTCACAAAGCATTTTATGGTCAAAGGTCTATGTAAATTTTTTTCCCAGAGAGGTAAGGTTCCTTATATCTGCCACAAAGTAAAAGGAAGCAATTACCCTAAAATAGACCAGAGGTAGAAATGTATCTGGCCACTGCCCTTTGCATAGGACCAAAGAAGGATGAGGTGTTGACTACAGCATCCTTCACACCTTTTCCAAGAATTTCTGGAAATTGGAGTGATAAAATTACTGCACAGAGAAAGGAAACAGGAGCTACCCATCGGAAATAGAAAGTGTAGCAATTTTACCAGCATCTTCTTAATGACAGTGTAGCAAACACATGTGGTTGAGTTTCCAGACGTACATCCACGCCATTTTTTCCCATAGGCAATGCAGTCAGCTAAATGACTGCATTTGTGTCCTTCTGAAAAATTCTGCATCACATTTCTGCATAAAAGATCTTCAAAGAAAAGATTCTTCACAGAAGAAATGCACCTTTGAAAAAATGCTTTGTGTTTTCTAATCTCATTTTGATAAAAGCTTGAAACTATGAATTGAGCCTGAGACGGAAAAGAGTTGTATCCAAGCAAGTGGTTAAGGTTTCATGAAGCTGTAAGGGCATCAAAACAGGAGATTATGTGAGTGCCAGACAAACATAACTACAGGCAACTTTATCTGCTCTCTACCCACGATGATTCCAATTTTGTGGGAGTCAATTGCTCGAAGAACCTCACAGGTTTTGAGAATAAATTATGAAGAAGGTTGCTGCCTTCTCAGAAGGAATATTAATTTATTCCAGCCTGTGAAGTTGATTTGTTCACATGATGTGATGACAGGATATATGAAAACTTTTTACACATTAGTGTGACATTCTTGCACTGGCATAGAAAAGTCTAAAAACTAGAAAAATTCAGAGCAGGCTGTCTTGGATATATTGTAGGTATTGTGTGTAGTGTTTATCTTTCCATTTTGCTGAGGTACTAAAGCTCTTTTGGGTATTGATACAGTGCTGTATTCTGTTCACTGATCCACAAAGAGTCTTCCATGTGAAGCTGTGGAAACATTACAGCCAATCTGAAGCTAAATGCAATTCTGTTAAACTACTACTGGGATACAAAGATCTGTCAGACTGTAAAGATCACATTTTGTATACACATAGCCATTCTCTGATATGATATTGCCCATGTCATAAATGCCACAGACTGAATCAAAGATTACAGAATGAATAACCAAAAGGTTAAATGAATTTTCTTTCCAAAACTTGAGAGCTCCAGCTGTGAAAATATAAATGAGAAACAACAATAAAAAAACTGCCCTACCTAAAATAACCCATCAAATTCTAAATAGGCCAGGGAATCAAGAGAAATGAGACCAAAATGATGGCTAGAATAAATTCTATCATTCTGGTATACTCAGAGAAATATCCTGATATATCCTCCTCTATATTCTGAATTCAGGAACCGTTCCATCTAATTCTATGATTGGTACTGATGGAAGTTGTGGAAATGCTCTTGGATGACAAAATAATAAATAAGAATTGGGCTAAAATTGGAAAATTACGTCTGAACTCAAACCAAATAACTGACAGACAGAAAATTAGGTATCTGCAAAGCTGGAGTAATGTTTTTATGGACACAAATGGTGTGTAAAAAGCCTAAAGCTACACTAAGCAGCAATTTCTCTGTATTATCTAAATTATATGTGTGAAGACTTGATTTATTCTTTTGTGTTGATCAATGTATGCTCGAGTGTAAGGGAATTGCTTGCCTTTACTTTCAAAGTCTGACCCAGCTGATGTGTATATTTGACCAAAAAAAACCTGAAGTATACAACTCTGAACAAGAAGACCAAACTGACTAACTAGCTTTTTATTACTAATTAAATGTAACAAAGTGTTTAAATGTATACGCTGTTTAAATATAACAATAGAAAAAATATAACAGCAGAAATTAATATAATAATATAGAAAATGGTAAAACGTTTGCCAGTTTTCCCAATAAAGCTTAGTAATGGAGACAAGAGTTGCTTTAATATCACTGTCTTACAAATACTCTTTGAAGGCATGTGCCAGACTGAAAACTCTTGTTTGTTCCAGAGCCCTCCCTTCGCTCAGCGTTGGCACTCAAATGCATTAATGCAATAAGCCCAAAGATGGAGTGAGAGAGTCTTTTATAACACTTTAATAACTCAGTAGGAAAACCAACTTCAATAAAGCAACCCCTGAGTAGGTTTCGGTTAATAATGTATTTTGTACTTCAGCAGCTGAATTAAATGTATTTATAAAAAACAAATTAACTAAAAAATCCATCTGTTGAAACAGTTTAACAGAATCCACAGAACTAAATGAAAGGCAAAGATCTCTGTCAGCTTCGTCCCATAACAGAAACAAGGGTGACATCCAAGTCCACAGAGTTGCTGTCTGACCCACTGCTTGGGTACATACAGTGTCTGCTAGGGAGGGCTAGACGGCAGCAGCTACCATGGCTGGAACCACACCTCAGATGACTGAAACACATAAACTTCTGTCAAAATAAACCCAATTATTTGTCTTGCTCTACTCAGACCTGTCTTTAAACTCTGGAACTGAGCTGATCGTATTCAGAGTGAAATGAGTTAAGGAGACCGTACAGGAGCTCACCAAGCAGAGGAAAATAGTCTCTGGTGAGGTTTCAGCAGAGATGCAGGGAAAGGGATGTACTCTACAGCCCACTCTTCAAAATTGTGGCAAGCAAATGCTCACTAAATTCCAGTCATTCTTATTAGGCTTTGTACATACTAAAACCCTGGTTCTGACCCCAGTTTTACCTCACAGACCAAAAGTCTGCGAGATACAAGGTTGGTCATATCAAAGCAATTATATGTAAAAAGAGATTGTCACCCGAAACACTAGAAATTTTATGGGCTACACTGTAGTTCCTGTCCCAGTATAAGTTATAGCTATCAATATGTCATGTGTTACCGGTATTACTCCTGGTTATTGGAAAGCCTGATCCAGATAGCTCCATTTATGCCTAACTTTATGTTAGCATGCTTTATGTTTCAGCAAAACAGCCAAAGAATTCTCCATCACTGAACCCAGTACCATTCCCACTTCCCAACCTTTGGTTTAATTAGTTGAGAAAAAACCTCTTTACCTTCCAGGGGCATCTCCCTTTTCATCAAACCAAACTTCTTCTCCAGAAACACCAATGAATGAGGATTTGAGGAGGAATTCCAAGAGCTTGCTACCATCAATCGGCTTCATAGCATCACAGAGTCCAACATGTCCAGGACAAAGGGAATGATGCATATTTTGTAGCCCATGAGCCATAGCATATATAGCATTGATGACAAATCCCATTTTACTGTCCTGCACATAATTTTCTTCTAGGCTCTCATTGCCTACAATAATAAGAAAAAAGTGTTGTTATAAACAAGGATGAAATAACATGAAAACAGGAAAAAGCAATGATATGTAAAAAGAGATTTTCTAATTTTTCTTATAAAGCTTTGGAAGTATAAGGAGCCAGCCAGCGGTTAAAAATAAATAAATAATTAAATAATCAAACTATTTTGATAAGTCCCCCCAAATCTTTAATTCATTTGAAGTTTAATGCTTCATGGAAAGTACCGGTTTAATCAAATTGTCATCTTTCATTTTTTATTTTTTTAATTTTCCTTGTCATTCTGCAATGTTATTTATGCTAGGAAAGGTTAAACAGACCAGTATGAGAATTATACATTCCAGCTGGAACAATTTTTAAAAGCATTTTCCTTGTAAATTTGACTTCTTGTCACAGTTGAAGATTATTTTCTCTTAATCTCATGTTTTTGAGGTTCAAGTTAGCAATGTCCTTTTCAGCGTTAAGAAGTAAACCTTGTAAATCAGAACCACTTCTCGAGTTATCAGAAATAATAATTTTCTTTAAAAGTAGTAGTAGATTTGCCAGTTTGGGAGTGCTACAGAAAATCAGGAGGTGCCATTTGTGGCGTCACTTTCCATCAGACCTCAGTGGGTTTTGGGCTGTTCCCTGCTTTCCCTCAAAAGCTACTGAACGCTGCCAGTGCCAACACAGTGCAGACCTGTGCTGCAGGGGTCCCGAGGCAGCTGGAAGTAAGAGACTTCCTTGTTTTGTTTCTTTCCCCTTAAGTCATTAAATCACAATATGCTCCGAACTGCAAGATGCTTTTATGTGCAGGCCTCCCACCTTACTCGATGTTTAACGGGCATTTGCAATTCGGTCTCTGTTACTTTGTCTAAGTAACACCTTGTATACACTAGGGAAGTAGGATGTGTGAGAGACTAGGTGTTAACTTGCACTTCTCAAATTCAGGTTGGAGAAGATATTTGTCCTTTTAATATGAAGAAAAGAGGTAAAAACCTACAAGTTTGCTGAAACTTCTAAGTTCAAAAAATTGTTTCTTACCCTAATGTAGATATGATACGTCTTTCAAATGAAACCATGAGGACCATCCTCACATTTATTCTCGGAAATGGCTCTGATTTGGTAGGCCTTCTCAGCTTGTTTGCTCTACAACTCAGGAATGTCAGCTGGGAATTCATTAGGACAGCAGAGATCCCAAATGCAGGGATATCTTACTTGCTTTCCCTGTGTCTCATTGCAACTGGACAAGAAAATCTTGCTTCAGTAACTACTTTCCTGATAAGCTGAGCATAGCATGGTTGTGATGGTGAATTTAAAAAGCCTTGTGAAAATAGCATAATCTGACTGAATGAGTTCATGTGCTTCTCACTGCCATACATTCACTGCCATCAAGGAAATAGCAGCTGGAGAAATTCTTCCCAGAGGCAACAAATCTGCCACTGTCTTTGCAGGAGAAGGTTCATAGCTCCCATTCCAACCATACAAAACCAACACCATTCAGATCCACATTCAGAAACACAGAAAGAATAAAAACCTTACGTGAGAGGTAACAAAGTATTGACCCGGGGAAGCAGAGAGTGTGCCAGTGCATATATACCCTCGCTTATGTATGACAGAGCCTAGACATCTGTTGCCTCTCTGTGTTAATATGCAGACTCAATATACTATCTCTGGCTGTGTTTTATCTGCTGATTAGTCTCACAGGATTAGCACACTGTGAATTTATCACTGATTCTGCTTTCTTGTAGATAGAAAATGAAAGTGTTCTCTGTCCCTAAGGGAATGAGAGGCATAAAGCACCTGGGCTCAGTGCAGCAGTCCTCTCTTTCTTGTGAAGTCACTTGTGGAAGGGATCACAAAATGAGTGATAGTGCACTGCAGTCACTATGTACTGTTTTCTACCTGAAAGTTTGTCTTGGATACATCCTTCTTTTCTCAATTAAGTAATAAAAAAAAGGGACTTAAACATTGGTAATGCTTGCAGGAGATAAAGAGAATATTCGTATCTGTTTCCTGAGGCAAGCATTCATATGGCTGCTGGAGGTAGAAAACTAAATAGAATAGAACCAGCCACTGTTTATAAAGAGGCCATTTCCCTCAAGTACATATGAACTCAGCAAAACATGCTTTGGTTTCTCATATTTCAATACAATCTGCATACCTCCAAAGAGAATAAATATTTGATGGTGGAAAGATTTCCTTTTGACTATTTAGGAGAGAACGTCTAGTTTACACTAAGGCCTCAAGCACATAGTCCCACACTGCAGAGGTGACTGCCTTAATGGCACCTATAAAGTAATTGTATTGTAGTAGAAAGCAGCATGTGAACCATTATACAGTAATGAATCATCTCCAGCTCAGTAACATAAACATCCCTATGTGTAAATAAGATATTTTCCAGCAAATCGAGCATGAGAAATCATGCTTTACCTGAACTTACTAGATTCAAAATCTGCTTTATTTTATGTTCATCATTATAAGTCCTTGATATACTCGTGTATTTGAATCATCATTATAAATTCACGTATGATGATCAGTAAGAAATGTGTGAGTGTTTAAAATTAATGAAATAATGTAATTATGTTCAGTCAGAAATAAAAGAGAGACCATCAATGTTCAACTAAGTTTTCATAGGGCAGTTTTTTAATAAATGCAAGAACTTTACTGTATTTTTATGGGGCTTCTTTATAAAGTTGTATTTTTCTTCAGTAGGTCTTTGAAATGTAACATAGGGCAAAGCAGAACTCTGAACTGTGAAACTTTTATTTTCTTCTTCCTCTCTCATCCTTTGGAAAAAAATACCACTGATCTACAAAGATGAATTTGAACACTAAGTTTTATTAACATTAAAAACAGAAAAGTATTTTGTTAACTTTCTTCCTTTTTTTTTTTTTTTT